TCTATCAGAGTTTTTCATAAGACTGTAAAGATATCTTGCAGAAAATTCAACATTTTTGGTGAAAGAAAAATCCCCGCTATTCCCTCATTATTTGGTAACTCTGAATGGAACTACGATACTTACTGTTGAATAGTAAAATAAAGTCTTGGAGTAATTCTTAAATAAAGAAGTTCAATAGGAAGATAATATTCTTGATTAACATCGATTTTTGCAATATGATTAAATTTATTTGTTTCAACTGAATCAGGATCTAATACAATTAATGGCATTTGTGTTCGGTTTAATATCTTTTGTTTTTATGAATAGAAAATAAATTTAAACATAAAATTAAAAGAAAAAAAAATACTTCAATAATTGAACTAAGAACAACTCTTCTTCTTTCTTGATATATTTGTGAATCACAAAGTAATTGAACTGGCCATGAAGGATTTGATGATGAAAATAAATCATAAACTCTTCTCCATGTTTGATTTATATCGACAGTTACTTTTCGATCTTCAATCTATTAAAAAAAAACATATTTTATTTCGAAACGATTTATATTTATTAATCTAACTTGAACATTGAATTGTTGTTTTCTTTTAACAACTTGTTCAGTAATAGCTGGAAGATGTGTTGCAGATAATCTTTCTTGAGGTATTGTTAAATGAAGTGATTCATTATTTTTTAATTTTAATGATTTATCTTTTGGTTTTTCACCATCAGGAAACTTTAATTTAAAAAAATAATCTTAAGAATAATTTCAAAAGACATTACCTCAAGTCCAATAATATCTTCAATATTAATTTGATAACCAGTTTAATTAAGTATTGTTAACATTGCTTATTCTTGATCATCATCTGATGATGATCCTTTTTCATAAGCTTCATTAAACATTGTTTGTATACGTTGACCAAGATCAAGAGTTGTTTTTGTTAATGTTATATTTAATAAATGTTCAGCACGAATATAAATCACTTTTTTAACATCAATATTTGCTTTATCACCTTCTGTTTCTTTAGATTTTTCTGTTGAAGATGAATCTTTCTCATCACATAATAAATATCGACACTAAAGTTTAGTTTTAATATTTATTCATTTATTTAAACATCTCATTAATCAGTTAATTTCCCTTTATTATACTTCGATAAGATTAGGATTTTCAAAGTTATTTTACTTCCGTTTACAAGTTCATTGACGAGGAACCTTTCGAGATGTAACCTTTCCTTTAAGATTGAACATTCCTTATAAAGTAGAGTCTACTGAGATTAGAAGATTTTGCGTCCGTGCGCTGTCCTTCTGAAGTTCAAACCATTTTACTGGTTATTAGTTTGTTCGACTTTTCTAAGTACCTTAACAAGGATAAAAAGTCTAGTAGAATGGCTTGAACTTCAGAAGAACAGCGCATGGGCATAAAGTATTCTAGACTTTTTCTAGTCTTAACGGATCCTACCTTGTGAGGAATATCTTATCTCAAACGTGAGGTTACTCTTCTAGGAGTTCCTTATGAGAATGACAGATACATAACTAACTTTAATTATCTTAATGAGTTTTCAGCGTTCCACTTTAGACCATTATTATTCAGTCGACCTCTATTTGTGATATATAGACCTAGATTTTTATCAGAAATATCTCTATAGATATGTTCTATACTCAAAAAAAAAATGTTTTGTGCAAAACTTTTTCTTTTATTTCAAAAAAGATTCCTTAGGCGAGGCTACATTGAACATAACACTACTTTGCTCAGCTGTGTTCCCTCAATACTTATTTCTAACTATGCGCAAATCTTTATTCTTATATTTATCCTTTTATAGATATGTATATATATATCTTTATTTCTAGGTTGTTGTTTGAACACATTGCTGATATCTATGCTTAATCGTCCATATCTATTGATATACTGTTATGTAATGCCTCTCTTCTATATCGATCCGTCCTTTTGTGAAACACAATCTGAAAGGAGTGTTGAAGTATATAAGGTAGAAATTTTGCACCCACTCTTCCTACCCTCACAAACCGTGATAGAGAAACTGTAGTTCTAAAGCATCACATAAACATTTAGCTACAAATGTATCTCAAAGAAATGGAAATCGTTTTGTTCTACTTAATTAGTAACAATAGATCCATCGTGTTTCATATTTTTAATCCCGTAAGAGATTGCGCTAACAGCTTTTTATGTTGAATTGAAAATTGAACAAATATCGCAGAGCTGTAATCGGCCGATCTACCCAGTTAGACTGGCATCGGTACCGTTAAGGAAAAAATCCTATCGATTACAGCTCTGAAATATTCATATACTTTAGAGTAATAGAAGTAGGCGAAAAGACAAATGACGCAGAAAGAAATGTATATCATAATTCTAAATCTGTTTATTGAACAATTATTCTACCATTTGCAATCCGAGAAGATATTATATATTAATATTTCGAAAATTCAATGAAGAATTTTCAGGTGAGAAAAAAAGAATACGCTCTATTTTGTCTTGTTACACAGATGAACAGAGAAATGAATTCAGATAAATCGAGTTTGTGATTATTAAATTTTGTGCCTTTGTTATAGACGAGATTCGAAGAAAAAATAGTTTAGTATGAAACCTATGAGATTACGAGACGTTAAATGAACTTAAATCTTAAATGTTAGTCAAAAGAGTTTGATCTTAGATGGTTCTAAATAATATGTAAATATATTTGTACCTTCGGATTATTTTCATCTTCTTTATCCTATTTAAAAAAACAAAAACAAAACTAAGATAAATAAATATTGAAAATTTCAATA